AAAAATGGCAAAGTCATACAGCGCCATGAGAATTTGAACTTGGCTCTAGGCAGGAGCACTTGTAACTTACATTACAGATTTTACACTTATCTTTCTGAAACTTCTGAAATTGCAAGCCAGAGGTGGGGGCTCTACCTCCTCTCAGGACCATTTATTCCCACTCATTCGGCATTTCCTCCTGTTATCACAATCTTCATCTTTCAGAAACATTGCATGTTTCATTCAACAGTATTCCCTTTATTTTGTGGTTAAGGGCACACTCTTTCTTGTATGGCATCTCCCATAGATGTCTCAGGAGGAGTGAGGAAAATCTGGCTTTCCCAGAAGAGTGAACCCTCCATGGGGTGCTGGCAGCAGCCACAACACCCAGACCTTCTCCCACCTCAGCTCTGCCAGAGCACCTCCAGCAACACCCTCCGGATAAGCCTGGCTTCCCCAGGCCAACAACATTGGCTCCAGAGTTGCTGCAGCATGGTGTTAGGGAAAATGGTTTTAAAATCCATTTTCACAAACCACGTGAAGCAGCAAAAATACCCAGAACTGATTAGCAGAACAGCAACATGTCCATGCATTTATTCCTAATGGTCTACACAACCCAGTCCTAACTTGAAATTTTATTGTTTATGGGCACAGCATGTTCATTTTATGGGAACAGACCTGCTCTGTGCTGGAAGACTTCCTGCAAGCAACTGTGGTGTTAATTTAGAAGATGGCTTTCTTCCCAAATAGTCATCATTAAACCAATAACCCTGTGTTACCTCCAGCACCAAGGGGCAATGTGCTGTCGGAGGCAAGACAGAACAAAGGTCCCAGTGATAGTAATTGCAAAAGGGCTTAGGGGCTGTTCTCTTCAGGGAAGGGAGAGAGATGCAGCCTGGCCAAACTCCAGGCTGTGTGGTTTTAAAGATCCTCACTTGAGTTGTATTGTGTTGATGTGCAGCATTACAGAGCCGCCACTTCTGCACCCATGCCTGGCTGAGTTACAGGAACTATTTTTAGCATCTCAGCCAGAAATGACATCTCTCATGACTTTTATCATGGAATGAGTGCGTGTTTGTAATCAGCTTGGAAAATCTGTTTGAGCTTAATTCTACGGCCTCATCTTTGCTACAGAAACAACTGTACTCAGTGACACAGCCTACCCTCCCTTGAGCAGCATGGGGAATGATTTGCTGTCCTGGGAAATTGGTAACAGCATGAACCCACAGGGTTTTGCAACCTCAGTGTTTGATGCCTTTGGTTTAAGTGCTGAACACGCTGTATAAGCACAAGCAGCCAGCCTGAACTGGGAACTCTGCTGTAGTGCTGAAATGCCAACCAGTTGGGTAAATCATTAGTTTGTGCAGTAATTTCATCAATTCACAGAGGGAGGCAAGGGATTAATGCCAGGGTCAAAATCACTACAGAACTAGTCTCAAATCTTTCAAATTTGGTAATCTTAAGGATCAATTTGCCTGTTCCTACAGTAAACTTGCTCAATAAACTTTATTTAAATGCCTTCATAAAATGTCTTTCTGAAGAAACAAAGCATCCAGGCTTTGCAAGGTCAAGGATATCAGTCTCAAGGCTGAGACAAGGCAGACCAGTCATGGATGCACTGCACGGTGGTTGGCCCTGCTGTCACTGGAAAGCAGAACTGTTTGTGCTGTATCTGTAACTGAACTGATGCAAGCTGTCCCTCAGGGCTTTTCTCAAAGGAATCCTGAACTTCAGTCTGCCCAAACTGCTCAGGATGCAACATATCCACGCAGCATATCCACAGTCTGTTTGGCTGTACTTCTGCAAGCTAATAGGTCAATATATTTCTAACCATTTGGTCTGCCTCAAACAGAGCATTAGCAGTTCTCTTGCTGTGCTTCTTCAGCACAGAGATGATTAAGTAAACAGCTTGCCTAGAGAGGGTGGAATTTCCATTGCTGTCTAACCCATTCTAATATTGACCAACATCTGGCAGTAATGAGTTAGGAAACCTTAGTTCTGCATGAGGCAGGGTGGCAGGCTTAAAGACATCCTGAGGTACCTTCTAGTCCTGCCCAGACTGATGATTTGCTGTCTAAATCAAATTGTGCTGGGATCACACATTAGAAACATGTTGACATGGCTCTGCCATACAGCTAATGATGAGACTGCCTCTTGAATCCTTCTACATGACATAATTTCTGCATGATTTGTGTTTTTACAATCATTCAGGCATTTTACCTCCTTTAACAAATCCACAGCTTATAGACAGGAAATGCTTAGCATCCCTCCTTGCTCTGGACTGAAAAGCAGTGCCATGGTCCATGATGGTTTGAGGCCAGCTGCTGCATAGAAAACAATCCCATCACACTGGTGACAGCTGCCTAGATGAGCTCCCCTCAGCCCAGTGCCACTGTGCCCCTGGCTCTGCTGCCCTCAGCCCAGTGCCACTGTGCCCCTGGCTCTGCTGCCCTCAGCCCACTGTGCCCCTGGCTCTGCTCCCCTCAGCCCACTGTGCCCATGGCTCTACTATCAATACTGAGATCCCTCAGCAAATCTGAGACTTCTGTTCTCATGTTTAGCACCCTGCTGAGGGTCACAACCCAAAGACTCAACAGAAGCCCGATTTGTCATGTTCACAATAAGCTGCAGCAGTTACATGTGGGACTGTCAGGTTTCCTGCTCAACTCCCTGTTCTGTGAACTGAGAAGTCTGAAAGCCAGATCCTGTAAGAAATGACAATGACAGTCAACAGCACAGCTGTAGAAGCACCTGCTTTGGTCAACTTAAGTAAAGGAATCACAATCTAATCCACTGCCTCCATGTAACCATACACCACTGATTTCTCTGCACATCCATGGAAACACAATATATGGCTATTTCTGTAAGATTTTTATTAAAAATGCAGTCCACAAATCAGAACCCTCATACTCAGACAAGATGTACAGCGCCTGGGCATCCTGCTTTGCTACCGGAGAGGGCAGCTCAGGACTGCAAAGCCATTTATGTAGCAGCAGAGAGCCTTTCACGAGTGTCAGCATCTTCCCTTAAACCAAGAGGCTTGATGCCTGCCCAGAAATGCCATTGTTCAGTTTGCATCGTTGGAAGCAGTTTCCAAAAGGTCAATTGGAAAACTAAAGGACCTTCACCAAAATGAGTTACAGTGGCAGAAGCAAACAGAATAGGCAATTTCCTACTTCCTCTCATTTGAACAAACACAGGTTTTTCTTCCAGGGCCATACGTGTGTTCTGCAGAATTTGATTAGCCAAATAAAAACATTTAGGTCATTTAGATTGTGTACATGAAAAGAAAAAATCTGAAGTACTGCATTCTAGATAGAAACATACCTACAGGATTTACTGGGAGCAGCAACTCATACCTCTTCATACTTCTTAGAGTACAGGCACCACAGAACAAGTTCAGAATGAGGTACTTGAAATCAGAGAGTTTACTATGCAAACACACTTTTCACCCATTAAAAAAAACAGATTAGAGGAAGATATAAACATCTTATTTATTAAATCAAATAGAAATGCAAAATATATTTCACATGCCTTACATGGAAAAGAGATGAACTTCCAAGACTTTAAAGCAAAACTGTGTCAGTTGACACGCAGGAAACAGGAACATTATAAACAGTCACAAAGAGGAGGAAGGACTGGGGGGAGGTGACATGGGGATGCTGGGAAGGTCCTCCCCACTCTGAGAAAGATCTCTTAAAAACAAGAATGGAGCTTATGCTAAGCAAGCATTAGAAGTATGTTAATTTTAACATATATTTATTTTGGAGGAAATTATCTAAAGACATACAGTTGGCTACTAACTATTCAAAACAGTGGTCTAAGTTATGTATACCATACTCATTAAGTGGACATGGGTTTGATTTTGAGTATAACATAGTCATACGAATTAGACACGGGTTTATTTTTTGAACATCAGTAGGGCCAGCAGGAGAATCAGAAACACCAAAAACACCTTTTAAAAACTAAATCAATACACAGCCACATTCTGTGCAACTCTGCTATTAAAAAAGGGGGGAAAAGATTAAAAATATAACTATTTTTCTAAGTATTTTAATCATTTTGTCGTCCTCCAATTCTTCCTCCCTCCTACACACAATTTCTTGGAAACTGAAATGACACTCAACAGCAAATACAAAGCATACACCAATAGTGTAGTCCACAGTTTTTCTAAAGAGTCAATAGTCCAGCAAATTTAAAGTGATCTATGTGCAAAAAATAAACAAATGAAAGAGTTTCTTAAAAAAAAGAAAAGTCCGCTGCAGCCTTAACTTCTACTTAAAAAAAAGAATCTGAGGATTTGCACTAAGTTTCCCAGTGGAGAACAGATCAGTAACTCCAAGTACTCTGCCTAACCTGTGACTTGGTGTTGCAAAACTGTCAACATCCCAAGTTTACTACCTGCTGGCAAGTGGAAAACAGACTGTATCCCCATGAGAAATAGGAAAACCACTATTCACAAACTGGTCCTCTGAGATACATAAACATGTGGTGCAGGTATGTATTCAGAGACTGCTACCTACAGCTGAGAACAGTCCTCTCAGCATGACTAACAGTAAATTATTAACAATAAAATATTCAAAACTTCTAAGAGCAGTATTTGAAATGTTCCTGCCTGCTCAATGCCTCTAGGCCTAAGCTATCCGCTCGTTAATAGTGGTGTAAGTCAGGGCAGCTCTGGTGAAGTTACAGTGGAAATCACTGTGCATGAGGATTTGTGTGTGAGAAGAACAGTCCCCTGAACTACAGACTAGTTCAGTCCTGACCACACTACAATAGGGAATTGTGTTTAAACCATGAGTAATCATGCAGTCATCTCCCAGCATAGTACTTCTTTTCTGAACACATGGAATGTAAATGACTGAGATTTACAACTGATGATTTTGCAGATTTAATGGATTATATTTCTCTAATGGTTCTGGCAATGCAAACTTGGTTAAAAAAACACCACCAAAAAGGCCAAAAAAAACCCAAACAAAAAAAAAACCAAAAAAAAACCAAAAAAAAAACCACAACAAAAAAAACCCAACCAAACCCAAGCTCACTGCTGTCTACTTTTTTCTTTACTGGATGACTTATCTGGCACACAGTGAGGATTTCTAACAGTGAGTAAGTCTTCAAAGACATCAGATTAGTTGGGCTGGGTATGGTAAAGTCCAGGTGCAGAAGACACCACAATAGATGATAAAGCTTAATCACAGTTAAGTGAAAAAGCAGATCTTATGTCTGTTATTAGTCTGGTAAATGGAGATGACGCCCCACATCCTAAGCCAGGGCGGTGAAACAGAACAATCACCAACTCATAAAACGCCTCGAGTTTTCCAGATAAAAACTCAGAAGAGCAAAACATGAGCAGTAAAGTCACTTGGTGTTTAATGGCTTTCAAAGTCACCTTCCAAAAGAGCACAAACATCAAAACTATCTCCAACTTGAAAGCCACATGGCAACATTCTGCCTTTTGCCACCCACTGCTGCATGGGACAGAGGAGCACTGTGGAGGCTGAGGGGGAGATCAGCTGCAGGAAGGTGACCAGCCTTTGCCAGGGTGAGGGACTTCCACAGAAGGAATCTCACCCAAAAACGTGAGGCTTTGAGAATGATGGCAAACACACTTGGACTGATGCAAAACACTGAAGTACTGCAGAGTGTCCAGAGAAGGGCAGTGGAGCTCGTGAAGGTGTGGAACACAAGTCCTGAAGGACTGGCTGAGGGAGCTGGGGGTGTTGACCCCAGAGAAAATGAGGCTCAGGAGGGACCTTATTGCTCCCTACAACTACCTGAAAGGATGCTGTAGTGAGGTGGAGGCCAGTCTTTTCTCCCAGGTAACAAGCAGTAGCACAAAAAGACAAAAGTTGTGCTAAGATAGATCATTAGGAAAAATTTTTTCACTGAAAGAGTGGTCAAACATTGGAATAGGCTGCCCAGGGAAGTGGTGGAATCACCATCCCCAGAAGCATTTGACAAAACCACAGACATAGTGATTAGGGACATGGAGGACCTGGCAGTGTTAGGTTAATGGTTGGACTCTATGATCTTACAGGTCTTTGCCAACCTAAATGATTCTATGAAACCACATACCTTAATGCAGGAAAATGGTGGCTCTGGTGCAGTTCAAATCACAGCCAAACGGGTTTTATTTGCCAAGGACAGGTAAACACTAACAACACAATTCAACCTGTGTTTCAAGTGCTGTTAGGCCCATACCACATACAACATTTAGCCTTGGTTTGTCTCCCCATAATGCACTAAAGTAAAACCAGACCTTAAGGAATAACTTGCATAGTAAGAAAAGGTCATCAATTTAATCATTTACTTTTAAGCAGGCAAGCAAATTTGTAAACATTCAAAAGCGGCAGCATCCAAGTTACAAACAATTTAAGGAAAAAAGAATTGAGATTATTAAGGTTTTTTATCCTCTCAAAAATTTTGGAAATGAACTTTTAAAACACTGCAAACATTGAACACTCAGTTGCACTTCTAAACCTGCTAGTAATTCTGCCTTCCAAGGAATTCTGCTTTCTAAAACAGATGATCTCACAGTTGCCATACTTTTTATCATTTGCCATTTGGAAGTCAGCTACCAGAGCATTTCACCTCAGTCTAAATCCCATTAGCAAAGGGAATGCCCGTGTCTTGATTCAACACCTCTTTAACTTCTGAGGGTAAAGTGTCAAAGAGGTGATCTTCCACTACGAGCCCACTTTTCCTGAGAAGCTGACACTGCCCCAGCGTAGCTGGCAGACGGTCCAAGCAGTTTCCCTTCAGTTCCAGGTAAGTCAGCTGCAACAGCTGACTTACTTTATCTGGGATTGAGGTAATACAGTTTTGTCCCAGACTCAAAGTCCTCAATTTAACACATTTAAACAACTGTTTTGGCAAAATGTCGACTTTGTTTCCTGTGATGTGAAAATGCTGAAGATTTTGAAGCAAACCTATTTCCACTGGAATCACCGCAATTGAGTTGTAGCTTACATCCAAACACCGAAGTTTCTGTAAACTGAACACTGCGGCAGGTAAGGTTTCAAGTTTGTTATTGGAGAGATAAAGAGACTCCAAATTCTTTATGTGAGTAATGGATGAAGGAATGCTGACTATTTTATTGTGCCACAGCTTTAAACAAGTCAATCTTTTTAAATGCTGGAAACTGATAATTTCTTCAATTGTGCGTATGCTATTTGACTTTAAATCCAGTTCCTGTAAGTTAGAGAGACTGAAGATGGCATGGGGAATTCTCTCCAGTTCACAGTTCTGCAGTTCCAACTCTGCAACATTTGTCATTTTCTTAAGGCTATTGAGTACCACAAGCTTAGTGCCATCGTTATGAATGACTAGTTTTGTCAGATGTGGTGCTACATCTGTGATATTGGGGGGAATTTTGGTCAAATTGCTCTTCACATGGAGAATTTTAAGGTGTCTCAACTCTCTAAGAGATTCAAGCCCTATCATTTTATTATTTTCAGAGTTCAAGTTGCCTATCAAATACAATTCACGGAGGGTTTTGAGCAAATACACCCATGCAGGAATTTCTGCAACATCTGTGAATTTCACATGAAGGCATCTCAAGTGGTCCCGGAGGAAGCTGAAGGCAGTCTGCTCGACCTTCGCAGGGCAGTGGTACAGATGAAGCTCCTGAAGATTTGTCATCTGGGAAATTTTGGCTGTAATTTTCGCTTCAGGAATCAGCTCCAGTTTCAACACATCCAGATCTGTCAGATCAAACACTGCATCAGGGACCCCTGACAGCATGAAGAGATGCAGCTCCTGCTTGTCCTGGGCGTTGCGGGAGACGTGCTGCCGAAGCTTTTCGTAAGTCCATTCATGGTTCAAACTAATCCCGCGCAGTTTGTTCTCGCTTACCTCTGACAAAAAGACACCAAATCGCTTCGAATACAGCTGGTCATACTGATCCACCATGTGCAAGAGAAATGCAAAATCATTTTTGACATCTGGGATATCGCTGAAGCTGCTCTCTTCCCTGACCTTTTCAAAGGAGTATTCTTTCAAAGGTATCCGGAACAGCCAGAAAAGCGTGTAGAGGCAGATAAAACCATAGACACAGATGAGGGAAATGTAGCTGATAAGCAGCTTCTTCAACATATAAGCCATATTGTGTGTACATTCAAACTGTGTGTAGCCAATCAGGTGCTCCACTTTTGGGTTGCAGATGTGTTCAAAACTGATGGTGTTGACGAAGTTTGCAGTATAGCAGAGAATAAATATGAACTTGACAGTCTTGATGACAGTCTGGCCAACGTAGAGCTTGTAAATCAGATCGCTGTCTTCCACGTGAGCCCGGAACTTCCGGACTTTCTCAAACAGCGCCTTGGCCTGTTCTCCATCTTTCTTATCTAAAATCGTGACACTGGGAATCTCGATCATCGGCTTGTCGGCTGAAAATTTGAAGCCAGATTTGGTTATCATGGGAGTGCTGGCACTTGGGCTTCCTTCATCACTGCTAGTGGAAACATACTTGGGCAGGGACTGGGCACCAGTTAACCTCTGTTTGTTCTCCTCAGAGTCCTCGCATGCCGTTTCAGACAATGCTTTTGTAGTCCAAGGAGACTCAAAGCACTTCCCCAGTATAGACACAAAATGCTCAATTTTTGAGCAAGTCTTGGGATACTTGAACCAAAAATTACTACTGACTATTAAAATGATAGTATGGATGAGAACAAGATAGGGAAAATACTTTGAGTACCAAGGAAGAGCCAAATGATAGCACATCTGGTTAATAAATACATACTGCTGAAAATCCAAATTTGTTTTACGGCCTGAAGAATCTTTCTGCTCCTTCTTCAGCTCCTGGTCTGATTCAGTGGGTTGATACTGAGAAGGGGTAGCTCTGCTCAGAAGAATGTCAGGTGTTACAGTGGGGGCAAAGGAAACAGTTCTCATTGACGCTTCTTCTTGACCAGTGGTTGTTTCAACAGTGGTGAAGTCAGCCTTCCCTGCTGTATCAGGCTGCACTCTTGAATTTACAGTAGACTGCAAAACTGGCAAGCAGACCACCTGGTCTTTTGTCAGCTGCATGGTTCCAGCAAAAATGGCGACCATTAACATAACAACAGCGAGATAATCCATAAATACATCCCACCATGGTTTCAAGATACGGTAAGTTGGCTGGATGTCACTGAGCGATGCAACTTCTGCAAGGGTAAACATTCCTACAAGAGAACAAAGACAAAGTCACTGTTATTGACTGGGGGCATTAATTTTACCATTTAAAAACAATCCCAGCTTGACATACACAACCTCAGAAGGTTTCTCTTTTGTAATGTTTTGTTGCCTGTTGTGTATTGTCCATCATGCCACTTAACGGTTTTTCCAAAACCAAAACAATGAAGTATTTTAGCAAAACAGAAGGCTTCTTACTTCAGGCCACACCATGTTTATGTATCTTTGCCACTTCACAGCACTGAAGCCTGCTCTGCGCAAGTGAAATATCTGAAAGGTATAATACTGTATCTGATATATATTAATAAAAGGAAGAGAAACAATAGACTACAGAGCACAACATCCAATTCTGTAAAAGTGATTGCTTAAGTCTGAGCACAAAAAATCCAGCACTAACAGTATTTTGTAGTACCTTGCATTTAAACAAAATAGCATTTCTCTCAATACTTTGCACTCTGCTCATGACTTGTACAGCACATTTTAGGTCTCCTTACATCATCAGCAAGGTCTCTCATTTGTTTTAATCTAGCACAACACAATATCTTCCCCTGCTTCCCCCTGAGCATCCGCATGTCTTATCAGATTGATTGGCTCCTTTCCTTTTTAAGTATCACTGCAGCACAAGTGAAAGCCTTCCAGTCACTATGTGAACATTTGGCACAATCCTTTTTAATATACTTGGATGTTTTAAAGTAAAAAACAGTTGGATGGGGACTTGAGCAACCTAATCTAGTGAGTGGCATCCCTGCCCATGGCAGGAATGTTGGAAATAGATGCTATGTTTAGGAACCTTCCCACCCAAACAATTTATTCTGTGATTGGACCAAATATTGGTACTGTATACATTTTTCTCCCCAGTTGATTTAAACCAGCTAACCAAGAACAAACTGCACAATTCTTTCAAATAGGGAAACATTTTTTCAGGTATTATCACATCTAGTGATCACAGGAAGCCAGTTAGTACAGTAGGACAGGAGCTGACTGCAAGGCTTTCACTTTGTCTTAAACATATGGACGTGAGACAAAGCAGCAAACTGACCATGGGGAATCCAAACCTCTCTGCAGCTTTAAGCAACTTGCTCTGCTTTTTTTTTTTTTACAAAATATGGAGGAATCAACTTATCAGCTTTAAAAAAAACAAGCTTCCTGCGCAAGCAGGATGTGGTAAAATCATCATTTTGACTGCTGAATTTGTGACTCAAGTTGCCATTTCTAAAGAAAAATATCTAGCTTGTGTGCACACATGCAGCTGGGAAGGAGATAGTATGTACACTATCCCACAGAGTCTGTCTCCCTTGCTTGGGACACAAACAGCTTAGCAGAGCCCAAGGAGATCACAGCAGGCAGTAACAAGATGCATTGGATTTATTATTTTTAACTTGTAGGGTAACAATTCATACAGACCTGCACCTTACACATCATAAAGGACAGTGTCAGAGGCAACATATATGCAGTGTGATAATTTATTTCTGGATAACAGACATTTCTACACACAGAATTCAAATACCAGCAATTGCCTATATGGTAAAAGCCATGCACTAGCACCCTCCTTCCCCACACCAGTACAAGCAGCTCCCACACCTTGGTCTGTGGGAAAGGCCAGCACTTGTCTTTACTACCACAGAGCTCACCATCAAAGTGTCTCCTCCAACACAGGGAGATACCCAGCCTCTGCCCTCCCACACTCCTCCCTGAAGCTTTTGCCAGTCTTGCATACCGAGTCTGCGATCTGGTGGAGGCAGCCAGAGAGGAAGGGACTTTATCTCACTGCAGCACTCATCTCAGTGCTCTTGGCACAGCTGCCAAAACTTAAAAGTTAGGGCTGAGTTTCTCAAGGAACCAGTAGAAGGAACTTCCAGTTCTCACTTTCTTGGGCAAGTGAACGTCATCTACTCCTCCCTCATTACAAGTTTTTGAGGTCTTACAATCCTCCCAGCTCCACAAGGACCTCCTTCCTGAGAGGCTCCTGAGCCTGCCCCCACACACCTGCCCAGGGCTGCAGCTGCTGCACAAAGTGCTGAAGGACACCAACCAGTAACACACCCCAGCTATCAAAGCCTCACAGTGCCTGACTTGGAAGTCAGCTACAGACTCCCATCTTTAATGTCTCCCAGTGCTTCACCTGCACTGAGTCACAGCATGACTGCTTGCCCTGGAGTTGCTACCTATGACATTTAAACAGTAACAGTGTGCACTTGAACAGCATTAGCCATTTGTGCTAATGTGAACAGATTAATTAAAAGGACCCTCCTAACTCCTAGGGCCCAACTGTCTGTCACCTGTCCAGAACAGGAGAACCACAAAGCAACAGCAGAGGTGACTTTTTCCCCCCAAATAGATTTTTTTTTTTTCTAGGATGCTCTCTGGAAGGCATACTCTCCATGTCCAGGCTGTTTTCACTGTGCTCTCACCTATCCTGGCTGCCACAGAAGTTCTGCCCAGCAGGTGCGTTCAGCAGGACAGCACCAAGCCAAGGCACACAAGGACGAGTCCTGTGGCGCAGGAGAGCAGGCTGGGAAGGAGGAACCAGCTCACTGCTGGAGCAAACATGGGCAGCTGCTCCTGCCTGCTCCTCTGGGGCCAGCCTTTCTCTCAACTCTGCACCAGCTAATTACGTGGGAAGTTCCTTCACTGCCGTTTGGGGCACGGCCTCCAGAATTCCTTTCACAGAAAGAAGGTGATTTTTTTGCTTCTGCCATGAGAACACGTGGACAAAGGATGGAAACCCAGGCACTGCAGACATGACTGCTCTGAACAACTGAAATAAGGGAACAGAAATGACAGAGCACAAAGTGGTTCCAGCTGAAGACTTAGAAAGAACAGCAATAAAAGCAGAAGTTAACAATCACCTCTACAGGACCTCTGTCTTGCACACACAAAATCATTCCCAAAAAGGTTAGGAGGCACAACAGAGCCTGAGTAATCCTCTTTGTGAGGCTGTAGGAAGCATGGTGTAACAGGAGCTTTACACCAAGAAGCAGCACATTCAATGTTCTGAACACATCTTTTCTTTCAAGTTACTGATACTCAGAGAAGAGCTCCTGTTTTGGCAGAGATTAGCAGTTATAAAACAAAAAACTCCTCTGTGGCATTACTAAAACTGTCTCATAAAAGACAGACCTTTTTCTAGCTAATAAAAATCAGTTCCAAGAGCTGAAAACAGATTTGCCTCCTTACATGTCCAAAATGTTTAATGTTCTGAGTCTTAAAACCAAAATGAAAAACTATAAACCTACACACAGTATAAGACACATTCTGACAGGCCGCAAATAAATTTGGTATTTTCTCTCTTAAATCCATCATAACATGCATTGGTGTTTGATTTTACTAAACGAATAACCATAGAAGTTAACTTTTATTATATTTCTGCACTCACTTAGAAATCAAACAATTAAGAGGCACTTAGAACAACGGGCCTGTACAGTATGGTAATGGGTTTGGATTTTCTTTATTCCTTTTGAATTTAAACTATTCAAAGCTTTTGAAACCTACTGTCTAGAATATTCCTTAGAGTAGGTGGAGAGTATTTTCACTACTAATTTTCAACTCCTTTTAAGAGTGACAAATTGGGCTTTGAGTTTCATTGTAAGTTACAGTGATAACACTGTAACACTGTTTGGAACTAAGGAAAAAAGAAAGAAAAAAGAAAGATGCAAATGCCAGTCTGTGTCTGGCAGAGCCTGCAACCATAGATGGTCTCCTCTCAAAACCAGTCATGGCATGCTCTACCCACAACCCCAACGCAGAAAACATCTGTGAGCAGATGGTCAAACTATAGAACAAAGTCCTGTGCAGCTGAAATGTTAAAGTACCTGATTTCTCATGTGAAAACATGCCCTTCTTTCAGCCCTTTCCAGGGCTTACAAGGCACCAAATGGACCTGGAGGGTCAGCAGAACATGGGGCTTTGACATACCCAAATTCAAAAAGAGATCCACACTAGAAAAGTGAGGTTCTTGAAGAGAAATTCTCATTCCCAATATGGAATGTCAGGACAGACTCCTTTCTGAAATAGCACATTTTTGTTTAATTTTAATAAGCATAGATTTAAATTCAAAGATATTGCAGTATGATCCTTGAGGCTGCACAGCTACATAAAGGCTTTAATTTTAACAAATAACCTTTTTTCCTCCCAAACCCTGTATCCAGTTCCAGGATAGTACCCTAGGATAGTATCAACTTCTTTCAGCTCGATCTATCACTTCTAGCTGTCTACTGGGTGTATTCTTTCTCCTGAAACAAAAATCTTTTAGCCTAAATAAATGCAACTGTTTTAAGCAGAGCTGTTTCTTGCTACCTTCTAATACTTTAAGGTGGAAAAACTTGAAGTTCTGAAAGTAGAGCAGTAGTGTGACTTGGAGCTCTAGAATTAAACCTACTTAGTTTATCTTGCAGGTATACAAGTTACAGCGAAACAGGAATACAAAGAGAAAAAAATTAACAATGACAATGGAATTGTCATAGGTCCACAGTAAATCAGCAAGGGTAGGAACTAATTCAATAAATCAGTATTCTTAACATATCATTACTCTTAATTATAATAATTTCATTAGTCTTAAATAAAAGCTGTAATAGAAAGAGAACAGAATGTGATTAGCCTGGTGAATTTCGGACACATTTCAGACTATAAATGCTGAAATAAAAAATGGACATATTGGGGATAAGAAACTGCTCTAGCTTAAATACAGAAGTTAGCAGAAAAGGAAGCAGCAGATTGGTATGTCACTAATGTTTATTTACATCCTACTTCTTCCTGTACTTACAGATAAAAACTGTCTGTCCTGTAACTCCCTGGCCCTCCTGTCTTAAAAGCATATTTAAAGTTAAAGCAAATTCAAAGTCAGAACAAACAAATAAAAGGAGAATTGTAGCACATGATGCACTCATTCACTCTCAGGTTCCCAAGACTCCAAACAAGTCCACTTTGTTTCAGGAAACAAAAAGATTCTTGAATCCGCCTTGTTACTGCATCTGGTAAAGAATTTCCTAAA